GTTACAATATAAAAATGTTTGTCATAATCATGTCTTGTGATTATTTGACAGAAGTTTTACTTTTAAACTATAAATGTATTTAATTTAGTTATGTTAGTTATGATAGTTTAGTTATGATGTAAATACAATAAAAATTAAATCAAGATTTAGATTAGAATATTATCAGTGGCCTCGTGCCACTTTATGTTCAATAAATTGGGCTTCGAGGTCAAAAAGTTTAAGAACCCCTGCTCTAGAGCTCCAGAACATCCACTTCATATGGCCACTGCATTWTTTAACATCATCCATTTCATCATTATTTGACTGATATGTTTGAGTTCAGAAAAACTCCCACCTTTAATCAAACACTGCCATCTAGAGGAAACTTGTTTACACTGCACCTTCACGAAAAAGGCACGGATTCAATAAAGTAAACTCAAAAAAGGGGGATCCAGCTGGTCTAAATGCAACTAAAACATTTATTTTAACCTGTAAAACACTTCATCTAAAGTAATTAACAGAACTGATGTGATAAATTAGAATTTTACTGAATAAAACAAAAGTCTAAGTTGTAARTCACAACATCTTCCACAAGGAGGGACTGTTGAACTGAAGATGACCCTGCAATCATTTTTACATCCTGTACTCAGTTTTTAATAATTTCTAGTGCTCCTGAAAGGAAAACACTTTAAAACACTTTAAAATAGGGAAAATGCTGGGAACTCACTAACTGTTTATTAAAAATATTCTATTCGGTTTAGGTTCACGTAAAGATTGAAGGTTGAGGTAATGAAGTGAGCAGCGTCAGCAGCTGCACGTTCAAACAGACATAAAATCAGTTTTTTCCCTTCTTTCTGTTCTACCTTTGCCTCTCGGCAGTGCGAACAAAGGGTGGCGGGTGTGATGACTATCATCGATCTTCCTTCTCTGAGRGAAAGGGGAGACAGTCATGGCTGCAGGAGCTGAGACTATAAAATATGGGTTGTTGACCGCTCTTAGATCAATGACTCATCTGAACTCTATTATTAGACTCTCAGGGTCTGTTACAATAAAACTGGTGCTGAGACAGGAATCGGAGCAGCTTGTGTTTGACTTAGCTGAGGCTTGATCTAACCGGCACAGTGGGCTTGACAAAAGGATAACCAGAGGCTCAGGGAAGTGATGTTGGAGAAGTGTTTCAGAGGGTAATAAAGGCACATCTGGGACTTACTTTGGGAGGGCTGCTTTTTATCTTGGGCACTTTAGCACCTCGGCCGCGGTGAATCTGCTCGTGGTCGAACTCCAGATCCTCCAGACGTTGGGTCAAGGCCAGTTTCTGCTGGATGGCCATACGGAGGAGCGAGTTCAATGTCTTCTTCTCATCTTCTGCTGCAGCAAGCTGTCTCTGCATCTCATCCAGCTGGGTAACGTACTCATCGCATCTACGGTAAAACAATCATTACTTTTTAACCCGCAGATCACAGGTCAATTTCATTGATTTTTCTTTTTTCGCCAAATGATTTTTTAAATCACTCAATAAAATACGTATTTGTTTTTGTGGATTGGATCTTACCTTGTAGCAAACATGGCCCTGAGAGAGGAAAAGGTGGCAGCGTCTTCTTTTAAGGCCTTCAGCTCATTCCTCAGCTTCATCATGGTCTCTGTCACCATCGCCTTTTCATTCTCGTACTTGCTCTTCAGGTTAGCCAAAGCATTTTCCGCTGTCTGCGAAAGTGAACGATAATCTTCAAGAAGTTTTTCCTCTACGACATTTTTCTTATGATTTATTAAACACAATTTAAAAATAGGACCTGTTTATTGGCCTTGAGCACCAGCCGGAGTGTGGCGATCTGTTCTCTCTTGGTGCTCAGCAGAGACTTGAGCTTCAGGATCTCCTCCATGCAGGACTCCTTGTCTTTGTCGAGCATGGGTGCCAGCTCCCTGGCAGCAGCCCTCTGCCTGGACAGCTGCAGGGAACGATCAACCGCTCTCTGCAGGTGTTTGATCTGGTCTCTGATGATAGCGTTCAGGTTGTAGATGTTCATCGGCTCCTTCCGCAGATCCCCACCTGTGTCCGTGGGCAGCGGGGACGGGCAGCGCGAGACGCCGATGACCGGAGACCCGGTGAGGCCGCGGCCGGGGCTGCCGTGGCAGGACGAAGAGTCYGCCGAGCCGGCCGTCGCCTCGTTGTGGTGAGCGTCTCTGGACGGGGAGTCCGCGGGGCTGCGCGGGGGGTCGGGGGAGCAGGCCGCCGACGCCGCGGCGAGGCGGCGAGCGAGGCGGGGCGACAGCAGCGCCCGGGGATCGTCGGAGCCCTTGAGGCTGCCGCTGCGCGTGGTGCGGCTCTGGCGATAGTAGTCCAGCATGACGCGGTTCGGCGTCTCGTTGTTGCAGAGGCAGACGTGGTGGTAGAGCTGYGCCAGCTCCTCGCTGAAGGTCACCAACTCGTCCTGCGCCACGTTCAGCATGCTCTGGCTCTCCGTCGCGGTGCTCGACGCCGCTCGGAGCTCCGCCTCCAGGCTCGCCGCCCTCTCCCGGCTCTCACGKAAGCTCCGCTCCAGATGTGATATCTGAGAGGAGAAATGATCTGAACTAAAATATTTGTTGCAAATAACGTCACGAGAGCTAAATGTAGCTTTAACACACCTGTTCACTCAGGGCCTGGACTCTGTCATCACTGTGACACTCCCCCTGCCCCTCCACCTCCTGGTTGTACTTCTCCTTCAAGGCCTTCAGCTCCGCTTTCAGGTCGATGACCTCCGTCACCGCCACCTTGTACTTACATTCCAGGATTTCAAACCCGTGGACGTCGGGGTGGCGGTGGCCGTTGGCCGAGCCGCCGTCGGGTTTCTCGCTTTCCCGCGGGTCGTCGAGCTCCTTGTCCCCGCTGAGATGCTTCAAGGCGTTGACGCGCTCGGTGAGGCGATGGACGCGCTCGTTCTGCTCCGTCAGAGCGCCCTGCGTGTGCTGCAGCTGGGTCTGGGACTCCTGCAGGTTCATGAGCAGCGATGCCTTTTCACGCTCCACCTGAGGGACGGAGGGAAAAAAAAAGAAAAAGATTTTATCTACATGTCATGTTTGTTCAAAGTAAAATATCTAAAATTATTTATATTTTGAACAAAGCCAAACATGTTAGATGGGAAATTATGTTATGTTCTATAGTTTGACCTTATTTAAGTTGAAGTATTTAACAAGGCTCAATAACGCACTATATTTATACAATCCAAACTGCTAAAACTTATCGACGTAGTCAAACTACAACAGTTCTAATATTGTATAAAGCAAAAACAAATCAACTGCCAGAATATATTTGAGAACTATTCAAGAGAAGGTAAGGAGTTTATAAGAGGTATACAGTACGTCAACAAGATRATTTGAACAAGAAAAACTTTCTGTATTTATGTCTGTTGTAAGACTGCTTTTTTGTGTAAAAGTACAGTATGACTTTAATCTAATCTTACGACTTTAATCTCAGAATATTATGACTTTAATCTCATACGACTTTATTCTCATACGACTTTATTCTCGTAATGTTACGACTTTAATGTCATAATATTATGACAATTCTTGTAATTAAAAAAAGTAAAAAAATCTTATGTGGTCCTAATAATCCGTCGTACTCACAGATGAATATCAGACTTGAATAATAATTAGAATAGAATAGAATAGAATAGAAACTGCCTTTATTGTCCCACACAGGGAAATTCAGGTGTAGCAGCAGATACATACATCAATCCTTGCTATGTGTTATTGTTGTTAATATCACCTATTGTTATTGTTTATGTGACTGCACATTGAATTATTGTTTTAGGATTATATTTTTTAGAATGCACTTTATCTTTTTATGTTTTGTTTAGTTTTATATATGTATATTTACTTATTTAATAGTTGTTGGATGTATTATTTTGAAAGAAATTTAGATTAAACTTCTTGATCAATAAGAAGTGATGGGAATACGGTTGCAGGAGAAGGGGTGGGCTAATAAACATGTATACGTCTGCCCACTCCTTTGAGCGTAAGAATATTGTATATTTGTAATGTTTCTGTTGCCATCTGTTGTTCTGTTCAATAAAATTTATTAAATAATTTTTTATTGTGTCTTATTGTACGGTCAGAAGAAACCGTATGACAACTGCAGAGGGATTATTTCGTTTCTAATTTATTCTGACAAAACTGATATTTTTATTTACACTGTGACTGAATAAAAAGAGATTTCCGGATGACCCACCTGCAGCAGCTGCTGTTTGAGCTTCTGCATCTCGGACAGGTTGAGCTCACTGAACAGGTCCGGGACGAGGCCTTCTCCCTTCCTGCCCGCTCGGTAGTCCCCGTTCATCTTCGCCAACGCCGGTCCGTTGTGGAGGTGGCCGTTGCAGCGGTTGCTGTCCTCCATGTTGCCGTTAGCGGCGGGGCCGACGCCGGAGCCGTTGGTTCCATTGGTCTCCTCAGGGAACTTGAGCCCCTCGACGCCGGTGACGGTGAGGGCCAGGTGGGCCCCGGCGCCGTAGACGCTGTCGCTCAGGCTGAGGTGGTGGGCCAGTTCTTTCCTTAGGTTGTTCTTCTGCTCGCGCTCAGTCTTCAGGGCGTCCAGCGCCTCCTCCAACTGACCCTCGGAGATTTCCTTCAGGCGCAGCGCATCTTCCAGCTGGCTGTTGAGGAGGACCGTYTCCTCCTCCAGCACCTTGATTTCATGCTTCAATCCCTCGTACTCCACCTGGGGAAGGATAGAGGAGAAATTTTGTTACTTTTTTTTACATCAGCATTTCTCACGAGGAGTATGCGACTAAGCTCTAAGCTAAACTTTTTATTTTGAAAAAACGAGCAGTGAGAATCGTAACAAGAGGAGGGGGGGCAGCGCTGTGACTTCTGAATAAATGAAAATGATTTAACACAGTTGTTTATACTTTTAGCAGCTCTTTTTATTCCACAGCTGACCTGCTAAAAATGACAGATTTTCTTTTCTGGATCTCTGACAGACGGACTTCAATCTCTGAACTCGTAAAGTTTTTCTTTTTAATTATCGCTGTCATTTTCATGAATGAACACTTCCTTGTATCTGAGGCAGGAAACATAGCCTTATATGGTGTTTTTGGGGTGGTAATTATGCTAATCTCCTCTCGCGTGCACGAGCAGCTGGATAGAACAGGTGGAATTTACGCAGCTCATTTACACACTTTTCCTGAAGATAGAAGTGTTTGTTGAATCTGACGTGACATGTTCGTACGAACCCTTTGTACGAACAAAAGTAAGAGAAATTTAGGAGAAGAATATGAACGTGTTCTTGCATGAGGCCCAATGACCTTAAAAATGCTGGAACAATTTATTCATTTGGTAGGAAGCTTAAAAGGTTTTTTTTAATGAGATGTGAACAAAATATTGGTTGAAAGTAAGATTTCTGTTGTTATGTTGTTTTGTTGATTATTTTAAGCTATACTGTGAAAGTTGAGTTTAATTTCTGCATGTTGTTTGTTTTGTAGATATATATATTTTTAAATGGGGGCAGATGTTACAAGATTTTTTTCTTCTTTCTGCTCTTTTTCATTTGATCATGCTGTGTTGTGTTTTTTTGATGCAACATTAATATTATTTGTATTGTTTTAATTKATGTTTGAATGAAATAAAGTATAAAAAAAACACAAAATGAGTTTTCTTTCTAAAAAACACCTTTTTCCTCTGTTTTTTGCAGCCTGGTGTTTTAACTATTTCACTTATAAGCAAGACAGCAGGGATGGAATTTGAAAACAAAGTTAAAGATTTAACAGCTAAGCCAACAATTTTGATGTGTTAATTTTTTGCTTAGATTTGTGGAATAAGAAATGATAAAAGTTGTTTTTTGAAGAAATGCAAAATAGTATAATGTGTCACTTTTATAAATGTGGCCACACGTGAGTTCAATTATTTCTGAGAGATCAAACACTACTTTCTGGTATGTTTTGTTGTTGTTTTTTTGTTTTTGTTTGAATCAAAAATTTTTTTAGAAAAAAAGTGGCAGATATAAGATTTTTTTCTTCCTTCTGCTGCATTTCATTTTATTTGTGATTTGTATTTTTTAATTACAGAATTTGTTTAGTTTTTAAATGAATTAAGTCTCAGTAAAGTGTGCCGATAAATGTGCTTTGTTGACACTGAGTGCATACCTGTATTTCAGTGTTGCTCATCAATACATCTAGAAAATTACTGGAGTAAACTCTTTCTATCTGATTTTATTGCTTGTAATAAATACCTTTACCATAACCTTTGTGTAACACAGTAATTGCTCTTCAGATTACATTATCTCATCCTGCTTTACTGCTTCTTTGTTGCCTAAAATTATATCAAGTTATTTTCTGTTTTGTCTCAGTAATAGACCATGTCAATGCATGACTGACACAACAACATTAGCATATTAGAAAACACTTCATGGCAGAAAAAGATACCATAAAGTAGTGTTTGATCTCTCAGGAACAATTGAACTCATGTGTGGCCACATTTATAAAAGTGACCCAAAGTAAAGCAAAGGATGGTGTTTGATCTCTAAAAGTGATGACAAATCGAATCATTAGGGGATCATATTTGCTTGTGAGTGGTAAAATGAGAACCACGTCATGAGTGAGTGAAAGGTTATACCACAGTGACACGCTAACTCTGTAAGAGTACGCGGCGTTGTGACGGTGATCTTTGCACCAACCTGGTTCTGCTTGAGCGTGGACACCAGTTTCTGCAGKGTKATGTTCTCCTCCTCCAGCTCGGTGTAGTCCTGAAGCAGCCGGGTCTCTCTGAACTTGTACTCCTTGATTTCCTCCCTCATCCTGCTCCTCTGGAGCTCCAGCATCTCGTTACTCTGGAGAGGAGGCGTGAAAACAGAAGGGGGTGATAGAAGACAAAATCTAACATTGCTCTGAGGATGACGAGWTGACGTTTTAAACTCACAGTTTAAAAAAAAAAAAACTAAAGTCAGAAATCTTATATCTAGAAGGATGATCTGCACTCACTTCAGAATACTAACAAACTGTGAGGTGTTAAATATTTAAAAATAGATTTCTGCAGTGACTTGTTGGTGGGCTGGACAAACACAGGAGAGCAACTTGGGAATCACGCTCTTAATTTCCCAAAACTATAAACGTGCAACTACTGAGAAGATGGAGAACATAAAGATTAAAAAAGCGACGCGTGTGCAGTTTAGTTGTGCATTTTTGTTCTGTTCTTGCTGCAGAGCATCCTGCAGGTCTCTGTGCATGCTGTTTGAAAAAAAAAACTGCTGACCCAGAGAGAGTGTCAGGAGTGAGTGGGTACACACACCAGGAGGGGGTAACTTATGGAGCTGAGGCACGTATTAAACCAGGGGCTGGGCAATCCTGGTCCTCGAGAGCCGCTGTCCTGCATGTTTGACTTGTTTCTCTGAGTTCTTACTGCTTCCAGCTGTGACCACCCATGGTGTTTGATGTGAACACCATTCTGAGGTTAAATTATTATTCTGGCTAAAAACAAAATCAGCTTTTTTAAAAAATCTCTGCATCCATCACTACAGGTTAAAACTGCATCCTTAAAAGAAAATCTTTAAATGTAACAACTTATTTTCTTCAGCAAGTCAAACGTTTGWTATTCATTCATTACATCAGGCCTGTTTAGGCCCATAGAGGTGTTCAGGAGACAGCAAGTCCTAGCCGTGTGGCTCTGTATKAAATTGGTCCAGGTCTGCAGCTCAGTCATAAAACTTTGTGATTTTCTCACACACAATACAAAAGTGTGCACAGAACCTCAGCATGTTAGTAAATAGGCAGCAGAGCCTCCTGTTTCAAATTATCAGTCAGTAACGATCTGTATCTTATCAGTGGTTACAGCAGTCAGGGTCAGGCAGAAAGAACAGCTTGAACCTCTGAATTACTGTGCACAGCACAGACTGACTGTGGAGGCTTCAATAAATTTGATAAAACAGTTATTACATCAGATATCTTGTCTTTTTCTTAATCACAATTGCCATTACTTCATAGCTGTAAAGTGGAGTCGGTTAAAATGAATCGGATTGTAAAGTTTCTGATTGTGTTCTTTACTTTCAAACAACAGATATAAAGCAGCTTGTATTATACTGAGATTATTTTCTCTGCATAAATGAAAGCATTTTAATCAGATGTCTGATTGTATTTTAATAAAACCCTGTTAAAACTAGTTGAACTGCTGACAGATGAATGCAGATCTTTCTCTAGCTCCTTTTTTTGTGCTAATTCTGTTTGTGAAAAAGTTGGCGAGGCTACCAATCAACCTTTAATAGAAGCGAGCTTGGCCAAATGAACCCTCTTGTGTTGCAGCACCAGCTGCTCTCCATGAAAGAGCTTCCCTTCCACATTAACCAGCTTCATGTGCTCAGAGGAGGATTTAAAAAGAAGCAGAAAACCTCTGATAAACACTAGGGCTGCACGGTATTAGAAAAACCTGCGATGCGCGATATTGGTGCTTAATATTGCGATGACAATATGATTTGCGATAAATGAACAAACACCAAATACATAATTATGTAGTTTTGATGTCTTACTGCTCTGGATTCTGAGCAAAAAAAAAACCCATTAAAAATAACATAATAATTTTCATTCCAAAATTATTTTTTTAATGAAGGTATTGAAGAAATTTAGAGTTATTTATTGATTAGTACTGATGTTAGAAAGCTACACCAGAGTATAGGGTTTCATTATTTTATAATACTTGTATAATGTTTGATCTATTATGTGTTAATTAAAATAGAGTAGCTACATGTCCGAATGCATATGCAACACACATATGTTAACATAAAAACACAAACTGTTTTTTAAAACCATTAGGGTGAGGTCTTTGTCTGAATGCCTGTGATTCAGCCGTAGGTCAGCAGGGGGCGAACTCAGGCATTGAAGATTCTGTATATATACTGATTCATTTCCTGGTTAWAKGCAGYGTGGTTTGGCTCGTCAGCCGGTGWCAAATAAACCTCACTCAGCTCCAGAATTCTGGGTTGTATGACATTTATTTCCTATCACAGATCATCTTATTTAACACTTGTGTTTTAATCTGATTTCAGCCGATATTAAACACGTATTTCTTACAGTATCTATCCAATTGGCCAAATACATTAAGGGCTCTATTTGATTGGTGAAATACTTCAAACTTCCGTCTGAGTGACAAAACTTGAAAATGCAAACTTTTGAGCTAACTATTTATAGCAGTTGACGCAGTTGTTGCGATCTGCATATTGAACAGGCTGTTATCGCRATGACGATAAATTTTTGATATATTGTGCAGCCCTAATAAACACGCTGCTGAAGAGCTGCCTTAGTTCAGACATGCATCAGGTTACTAACAGGCTTAACTATGCATTAGTTTTTGAACAAAAAGTGTTTGTGAATGTAGTAAATACACTGTAAAAATACTGAATTATCTGTCTTAAAAATAACAGAAACATATGTAAAGTTAACATAATAAACCATGAAATTACGAGGAGAATCCATTGGTTTATTTTTTTTATTTTGGTTGATAGAAATGTCCGTAAAATTAATTATTTATTTATATTTTATGAGCATTTTTTACAGTGTAGGTGTGAGAGAATGGTTGTCTCATTTGTCTCTATGTGTCTCTGTGATGGATGTGACCTGTCCATGTTCCTCTGTCGCTGCACTTGTGCCAAGCTCAGGGAATTTCACTCATTCCCCAGCTTAGCACCGGATTTGCCCCCCACAATGGGGTCGTGGCCGTAGCGTCTGACCCCGAGTCAAACGTCAGCTGTTCCCGACGCGCTGGCTGCAGACGTGTGCGCACAAACACGAATCAAAGTGTGGATGCTGTTCTCTCTGTTTAAGGTCGTTTTTCATTTTATTGAACAAATAAATCATTGCAACATTTTCAAAGGAAAAATAAATCCYTTTTACTAAATTAAAATAAAACAACCAAGTTCCCAGCAGKTAYTTTTTAGTGTTAYAAAAAATGCTTTCTGATTTCAAACGAAGATGTTTTTGTCACACTTAAAGCCACTAAACAGTGAATAATGTTAATTTCCAAAGTTTATTTGATATATTTTAACAATTCACTTCTAAATATTACTGTTTAAACACGAATCCAAACAAAAAAAAGGAAATACTTTATCTTGGTTTTACATTTTTATTTGTATAAAACGTCTCACATTTAAAAATAAACTGATTGTTCTCAAGTTATTGTACACTTAATGGATTTACTTGAAAAAATAATCTCAACTAGTTCCAATCAACTGATTTAAGTAAAGGAAACACGTTTATTCTGTTTACTTAACGTAAATATAAAGTTAAATGTGTTACCTTCACTCAGTTCAGTTGAGTGAAAACAGTGAACGTATTCATTATTTTCAAATTAAAGCCACTACATCTGGTTTTTGAGTGGATGTCCTCATGCATGAGCCTCAGTCAGCTGCACTGCTGGCTTCTTAGGGATCCCAAGTGGTAGATTTGAACCTATATAAAGTCGTATCTGGTCGTTAAATTTATATAAACAGTTATTTATTGCGGGCCGGCCCAGCTCTCCTCTCTCTGCAGAGACAAATCTAGAGGCTGAGAAAACGACACGCAGCTGAAGAAAATCAGCACAAAAAGCTGAGAGGAGATTCTGTCAGAATTCAGTGTTATTAAGCATTTTTTTTTCCTTATTTCACGTTAGTAAATAACATTTTTATTAAATTTTAATAAACTGGACCTTTAATTGAGGATCACTGTTGTATAGCAGGTTTTATGTCCCCTATAAAAACTAAATATGTGAAAGCTCACCTCTCGGAGCTCCTGCAGAAGCAAGTTGAGCCTCTCGTTCTCGGACTGCGAGTTGGACGCCACGGAGCGGCTTAGCGTCACCTCCGTCTGCAGCTCCAGCAGCCGATCCATGTAGTAGGCCTCCTTGGATGCAGATTCCTGCAGCAAGGTCTCCTCGTTGGTCTCGCCATCCTCGGCCACCTTGCGCTGGTTGGTGTAGGCCTGGCCGAACGCCTGAGGAAATCATCCAGAGGAGAATTAATGCACAAGAACCAATTTGGCTGTAGAACCACGCCTCTCAGCTCGTTCAGGGGGGCCGCTCCTCGCTGCAGACACCCACTGTGTCGCTCATGTGGGCTGATGTTTCACTCTGATCAATAGAAACACTGTTCCTATTTTCCTGACACAGGTTTTCACAGCTCCGAAAGCTGACTTGTCATGAGAAAGTCACTGAGGCTYGATTGAGAAAATCAAAGCAGGCGTCAACAGAAGGAACAGGCCAATCACAGCGAGGGTTACTTTATCAGGGTGAGATGTAACAAAAAAACAYGAAAACTCTTTGATTACACTGTTTCAAACTGCCGGGCTGTGCTGAGGCAGAATTCCACGAGCGGAAAATGCATTCTGTTTGACATCCGTGCAGCAGAGCAGATGCTCTTAGTGGTTCAATAAAACTATGAGCCATCCTTCACTTTCTCAGCACATCAGCAGAAAATAAGGTTACGCTGCCGGCAGTCATCTCTGTGAAGAGAAATGAATCAATACGGCACCGTCTGGAAAAACCATTAGGGTTTAAAAAACTGTGATCAACGTGTATAAATATTGAAGTTTTCAAGATGCAGCTATTTGTAGTTAAGCATATTTGAAGTGACCGTATGTTCTTTTCATTCAGTGATGTCCCTTAGAATGAGGTGGGTAAAGTACCAAAAAGTTGTGTTCAAGTAAGAGTAGCACTACTTCAACATACAGTATTTTTACTCAAGTAAAAGTAAAAAAGTATCCATCCAAGAAACAACTCAAGTAAATGTAAAAAAGTATTTGGTAAAAAGGCTACTCAAGTACTAAGTAAGACATCAATCATTTAATATTTAAAAATGACATCATCAGATTGACTAAAAT